CTCAGTAGTAGGCCAGTGCGTTTGGCGCTGAGCACCGCCCACAATTGTTTGGCAGTTTTGCTGGTGATTTCGTCCTGCCACCTGTCGTTCGCTACTTTAGTAAACCTCTCGGAGATAAGTAGCTTACAAGTTTGCAAGGGTATTCCTAATTATGTATTTATTTATTTATTTGGTCTACAGAAAAATGTTTTCTTAGGCACTCCGCACATTACGCGCCTAATCTTAGTAGAGTAATCGTTTCGACATGCCGAAACGAATGAATGACGACTCCACTTCTGCACACTACCACGCGCTGCATAAGCCCTTGAGGCACACACATACCACACATTATATATTTTCTGGCCGTTCTTTCTCAATGATCACTTCCGCTAATATTTCTGCAGTAAAATATTGCATAAAGGTTTATAGTTTAGTACAACTAGCACGAATTTTAGCACAAAATCATTAATTCTCAATTATTTCCTATTGAAGTGACAAATAATTTTTATTTCCAACACAAAAAAGTAAACAAATGACGATTTCGAAACAGCAAGCGCCTAACAATGTTGGGCGCTTCGATTCATGAAGCTTTTATGATTAGGCGAAAACATGATTATGAATTGTAATGTACAGATCATCATTCAAATATATGTGTTCGTAATAAAAGCTTCATACTTTATTATGCCGAAACGATTACACTGCTATGATTAGGCACTTAATATGCGGATTGCCTTACAGACAAATGGGTATAGAACATTTAGATACATAGTATTTTGTAATAATAATAATAATAATAATAACAGCATAAAATAGCAGGTTTGGTAGAGGCCTAGTCTTCAGCCTACTTTTATGTGCGGCGGGCGGAAAGACCTAGTTTCCGCTCCGCCCTGCGGACAGGATTTGATCAAGGTCGGTAAGGCCGGGTTTCAGAAGACATTACTTTGTGTGTGGCAGGCGGAAAGCTCTGGTTTCCGCTCCGCGCTATGAACAAGCTGATGCACATAGTCGGAAAGAACGAGTTTCCAATCCATGTTCCCGAAGTCATTACTTTGAATATGTGGCAGGCGGAAAGCTCTAGTTTCCGCTCCGCACTGTGGACAAGCTGTTCAGCATGGTCGGAAAGAACAAGTTTCCGATCCATGTTCCCGAAGTCATTATTTTGAGTGTGGCAGGCGGAAAGCTCTAGCTTCACCTCCGCGCTGTGGAGAAGCTGTTGATCATGGTCGGAAAGGCCGAGATTCCGATCCATGCTCGTATTGAATACGCGGTCGCGAGAATAAACGAAGCCGATTACAGTTGTACTAAGCAGTCATAGATATTGTGTAAGTTATCGTTCCCGGTTAAAGATATTAATTTTTTAGTTACAAAAAAGCGATTCACGTTTACATTTACCTCATAAACTGAACAAAAATACAGTTCACCAGCTGAACGATAAGGTGCAATGTAAGGGTTTACATGTTATTATTCAAAATCTCAAGTAAGGTTTTCTTAATGGTAAAATGTGAGTCGGAGGTGTCAAAATAGTCGTAATGCTTATTGAAGTCCTGGCATAGGCAACGAAAAGCATCATGCATTTCAAAATTTGTTCTACAAATAGTTAGCTTAATGGGCTTGTAATGTCTAGAAGACCTAGAAGGAATTCAAAACGTGATCTGGTTCAGTAGAAAGGGACTATTGACCATCCCGTTCAAGATCTTAATCATGAACAAAACCCCGAGCATCTCTCTACGGCCGTGCAGCGTTGGCAAATTTATGAGCTTCAAGCGGCTTTTGTACGGTGGGAGATTTAATGTCGAATCTCAAGGCAAATTATTTAATGCGAATAATAAGAATTGTTTCTGTACCGACTCGAGTCTGTCAGAGTGCGTTTGATATCTAGGGTTCCATACGACGGACCTGTATTCTAAGATCGGTCTGACTAGGGAGGTGAAGAGAGCTTTAGTGACACAAGGATCTCTGAATTCTTTAGCCCAACGTTTGATGAAAGCCAAGACGCCCTTGGCTCTATTAACACAAGAGTTTACATGGGACTTGAATTCAAGCTTAGAGTCCATGGTTACGCCTAGATCGATGAAATTAGTTACCTGATCAATACTATGTTCACAAATGCGGTAGCTATATGATTGAAAGGATTTTCTAGAGAAACACATAAATTTACACTTTTGCAAGTTAAGAGACATAGAATTTACTTCGCACCATTTAAACACATTACTAAGGTCCACCTGTAATTGTTTCCTGTCTCCTGGGGCACCAATGAACTTAAATAACTTAACGTCGTCTGCGTACATTAAGCAATTCGAATACTTCAAAATATTTGGAAGATCGTTGATGAATAAAATAAACAGCTACCTTGAGGTACAACTGAGTTGAACATTTTTTAAAGATAACCCTCTGTTAAAGATAACCCTCTGTCAATTAAATAAGAAGAAAGCCAGCGCAGCCGGATTGGAGGGAAACCAATTTCATCAAGTTTGTATATTAGAGTTGAATGAGATACTTTATCAAAAGCCTTGCTGAAATCAGTGTAAATGACGTCAGTTTGATAATTACTTTTGAAACCATTGTTCACATTTGTAGTGAATTCAAGAAGGTTTGATACAGTGGATTTACCTTTACAAAAGCCGTGTTCTGATACATCGATAACGGGTGTTATGAAATAAGATAGTTCTTCCGTAACGATTTCTTCAAATAATTTAGGAATTGCACACAGCTTAGCGATTCCCCTATAATTCGCAATATTCGACCTGCTTCCATTTTTATAAAGCGGCAAGATATACGACTCCTTCCACAAAGAGAGGAAAACTCCTTGCTTTAGAGAAGCATTGAAGATGTTTGTTAATGGCTTATATAGATAATCAGCACAACTTATTAGGACACAGGAGGGAATACCATCCGGGCCACTTAGAAAAGAATTTTTTAAATTATTCAAATGAAGGAGAACATTGTCAGCGGAGATTGAAGGAATACGGATGTAGTCAAATTGTGGGAGTGGAAAAGGATAGCTAGAAGTTTTTTTCATTTGGTTCGACAGAATAGTTCGATTCAAAATAATTTGCAAACATATCAGCAATCATATCATCATCTAATTTCAGTTTTGAGGGAAACCCATTTATTTTACGTTTTGAGTTAACAAAATGATAAAATGACTTGGGATTAGAAACGATGTTAATGCGAGTTTTATTAATGTAATTCCTGTAACATTTTCTGTTTAAGGCATTGTATTTATGACGAAGGATGGAGTACGCGGCGTAGTGAGAAGACAGGCCTGATTTTTTATAAAGTTTAAATGATTTAGTTTTCTGATTTTTTAAATGCTTTAGCTCTGAGTTAAACCACAATGAGTTACAAGGTCCGGTATTTTCTTTAACAAGAGGAATGAGTTTACTGAATATATTATTCAAGATTTTACTAAAGTGTAAGGGACTGTTCTCAACTTCCCCATCGTACTCGGGCCAGATTATTTCAGATATAGGTATTTTAAGCTTGTCGTAGTTAGCGTATTTGAAAGAATATCGCCGACCTTTCGGCTTTCTAGTTTCAGGACAATAACATGAATCGTAGGATGGTGCCAAGGACAACTCAAGGGTGATAAGGGTCTAACTTAAGGATCGCCGCGTATTATAGTGCATTTATCATCAATAAACGCTAAATCAAGACATATACCTAAGTTGTGTAACTGAATTAATCTGATATAGACCAAGATCGGAAAGTTCGTTAAGAAATTGATTAAGTACATCCCGAGAAGAATTTGGCACCAGAATTCCATCCACCGAATCCCAGGAAACACACGCTAGATTGAAACCACCCAGCAGAACAATGGAGTCGGAAGGCTTGACCATGGCAAATAAAGAGAGCAATAACGAATGTCTGTTTCAAGTAAACCGAAGGGTTAGAGTTTGGTGGAATATAAATTGCAACAAGAAAAACACTACTTGAGGGGCACCATATTTTAGCACAGAGGAATTCAACATCATCTGAACCTGTGAACACAAGTTTTTCATAGGAAAAGGCGGTCTGAACAGCTATTAAAACACCCCCACCTTTTCTATCTAAGCGATCATTTCTAAATATTTCACACTTACTACACAATATTTCACTATTAAACACATTCGGTTTTAGCCAAGTTTCAGTAAAAACCAAAATTTCATAATTTAAATCAAAAGACTTTAAGCAGAGAACTATATACGTTCTCTGGTGTAACATTTAAATTATTTTTCACAATCGGCTCCGCGATTGAATAATGCTCGTACAGCATCGAAATGATTATTTTCTACTGCTAAAAGAAGTGGCGTATTGCCAAATTCATCTTTGCAATTAATATCAGTACCGCGGTCAAGCAGTGGAAGATAGCGTTACATCATTTATTTTCAGCCATAGACGGGATTTGAAATCATGTCTGGTAAGTTCGTTGTCTCGCGCCTACGACTTGCGCCTTAGCCCGCTTGGCCAACTGTGCAACTGATAGGGATAGAATGTATTAACACTAATAAGCCGAGTGCTCGAGTCGGAAAGTAAGTAGACGGTACGCATGCGCAGACAGCGTAGTTGTCTCACTTGCTCTCACACAGAGGCTGTGTGAGGAAATTATTTAATCCTGGCGATCCTAATCAGGATAATGAGATAAATTTATGAAATTATTATATTGTCGCTGATTCTTGATAAGTGTACAAAGTTTGAATTAAATCTGTCCGTTTAAAGTGGGTCAAAATCGAGTCCAAAGGAGTCGGTTACAAACATACATACATACAAACATACAGGTGAAGCTAATAAAAGGGTGTTAAAAAAGATTACAGCAGGTCCCATGACTTCGTATTTATATTTGGTTCAGGCACATTGTGTACTTAAAGCGTTTTCCGATTCTTTGCTAGAACGTTGAATGTGTTTTTGGCGTTTGTGTGAGCAGAGAATGTGTGTGTCCAGATATGTAGTCAACATTTTGAACTTAACGTGCACATTTTCACATGCAATTGTTATATCGTTTTTTAGGGTTTTTGGTTTGTGATAAAAATTGCAGTACTGACCTGTCCGAAAGCGTTGCTGGCCTGGCAGATATAAATCCCGGTATCCTGGCGGTAAGTATGGGAAATTCCCAATTCCGACACCATACCATCGTCCAGCACCTGATCACGAATCGTGTACCTGGAATGTAAATAAATATATTCATAAGTTTAATTGAAATATCGGAGTTTTCGTATTTCTTAAATTTACCATAATACGAGTAGCGGGTGTAATTTTAGTCCGATTTGAATAATTTTCAACAAATTGCTTTTCCGTACCAAGGTTTATTAGGTGCACCGTGTTTGGCAGAAATTGATAAACCCATTAACGACATACACTTTTGTGGTCATAAGTGTGCGGTGCCACGCCCATTATCCAAAAATTTATAATATTCTAATTTGTTGATAAGTGGTTATTGTAATCATTGATTTTAAATGAACTAGCTCGAGTAGTTGCTGATTTATCGCAGTTTTCGTGTTTCTGAACCATTTTACTCCACATACTAATTTTCAACAATTTGTATCTAATGTTTACAGAAATATCGCAGTTTTTGCATTTTTCGAAAATGGAACTGGGCGTGGTTACAGTCTGATTTCGCCCATTTTCAAAACCAACCAACCTCGGATAAAAAGTAATCTACATACCAAATTTCGTTGAATTCAATTTTTGCTCGAGTTATGGTTTACACGGACAGACGGACGGACGGACTGACAGACAGACATGGCTTAATCGACTTCTCATTTCATTTTGATCATTTGTGTATACATTTGCCCATATCTATCTCGATTCGTTTTGGCTGTTACAAACAACCGTTATGCGAACAAAGTTAATATACCCTTGTAAGGGAGTGTCAAAACTCTTTTATTATTGAATCATGACTCGGCCCACATTGTACATATATTGTTTTAGTATGTACATATATTATTTACATTTCAGACGAGGGATGAAAAATGGAAATCTCAAATTGTACCTAATATCATAAATAAATGCACCTAAATGAGACTGCTTGTACCTAAAAAAGTTACATCATTCGTTGCAGTTTTTTTTTCTATTAATTTGTTTTTTAAATATGAATACAAAAGGTGGATATACTTTAAAGCTGATTATTTTTATTTTAACTGAGATTATAGCTGCATATAGACTAATATAGTCTAATGGGAATCGGGGAAGCTTTGTTTTTGTCCAATTTGGACTACTGAAAAATATTGGCGAAAAGTCAAAAAATACACTTTTCGAAGTTTACTTTTTTATTCAACTTTTTGTAAAATAATAGGGAAAGTCTGCTAATTTGTCCGAATTCCTTAAATAGGTGCAGCAAGTCTTGAAAAAATAATGGGAATTGCGGTAAGTAAATTCGAGAGCATTTTAAATACATTTCCCGAAATCGAATAGCGAATATGTGTCAAATTGCTCAACTACAGAAAATATGAAATTTGAAGAATTCCTAGACAGAGTATGGGTGAATAAAATTAATAGAAAAGTTAAAAATGTTATCATATGCGTGGAACATTAGCTTTTATGGTTTCAATAGATTAACAACGCATTACAACAATTATAAAGGTAGATTGTTTGTAGATTTCAAACCGCCATTCGAGAGGGGAGTACGTCGGTCTAGGTGACAATGTGGTTGTATGGAAGAAAATACATAGTCAAAATTTCGAATATAAATATTATAACAAGAATTACGAATTTGGGGATAGCGAAGTAAAGTGTTAATTTTTCGCAGTGGTACATAATATGATTTTGTTAATTTCTTCCTTTTCACCACTTTTTTTGGAATTGTGTATTCTACCTACAAGTAAATATATTAGCACAGGAAAAATAAAAAAATAAAAATATAAATTAATCTGATCAAAAGATGATTGTACCTGAAATCTAGGGATTGTACCTAACGTACCTTTAGGTCAGTAAACGGTAGCTTCGTACTAGGGATGTTGCGAATGCGGATGCGGATGTTTAAAAGGTAACATCCGCGGATGCGGATGTCAAGTAGTTTTAAGAAATAATTTAGGTAAGTAAATTAAGTGATTTACTGGTACTGTTTTAACTGAAAAGGCGACTGAAAATCTCACAAACAACAAAAATGAGTAAAGGGCAAAAACACTTGTCAGCCGAGGTCGAGTGGTTTGTGTGAAATCAAGGCACACACCGCCAATCGAAGGAGAAGCTCGGCCAATCATTTTAAACTTTGCACAGATTGCTTTGTAGAGCACAGTAGGCGTATTCAATGCTGCCGTTGAGAATTTTCAGAAAGTCGCAAAAACGCGGTAATTGACGAAAAAAAGTTTCACCATATTATTTTCGAATTTCTTTATTAGTAAAAGAAAAAATCTGAGAACCAAAGTCAAAGTCAATTTTACTTGTTGGCCAAGCGAGGTCGCCGTATCTAGCACTCAGCTTTGCACAACGCTTAACTTGTAAAAAACCTTTAAATTTGTATAACCAAACTATTTTGAAATAAAATTCCCTTTATTATTCATTTGTATGAAATATGGTAAATGAAATATGAAATGTTAACTAGTAGCCTATGTCAACGTCGGCGTCACCACAATTCAGCACTTTGACATAAGTTTACAGACTAGACTCAGCGCTGTATGTATACGCGTATACATTTTTCAACGTAAAAACTTAAATTATTCATTCCATCTATCCATTTTCGTGATCTCACCGGGTTTTGCTTGCGACGCTCGTTTTGCGCTTCATCGACTATGCCAATAAATTGAAGTCCGACAAATAAATTATTGTATCAATTAATTGAACTTTGGCGTGTTATTTGTTACAAGTTTGAAATTGTACTTGCTGTCGGCCGTGTATCCCCCAGATTCGGCACTATTGTACGGTAAAGACTTTCGTGAGTGCGATATAAAACCCCGCGAAATCCGCGCCTGCAGTCGGTCAACATCCGGCGCTACTAGTCGCTTCCAGCACCGACCAGAATTGCCCAACTACCCAGCCGAGTCCACCGCCTGCTCGCAACCACCCACCAATTAACCAGTTGCATAGTCGACCGAAAGCCCGCCAGCCGCGTGCCAGTCTACCAATCGTAAAGCCACCAACGCCACCACCAGCAACCTGCAAATTTGGTAGCCGCCTGCATCCGACCAGCCACAGCGTTAGAACCTCCAGCCACCGGCGCTTCCACCAAGCGCAACCCCAAAAGCTACAGCCCAGATGGCTGTAAATGGTCCTTCAAGCCGAGAATTTAACACCATCGATTTAAACCGTATATAAGTATCTGCAAAAGCCGTAAGTAAAGATATTTTCTTAATTTCCCTACACTACATACATACATATCTATATATATTTTGTAAAAAATTTGGCGGGAAAATAGACTCAATAGCCAAGGAATAATTAAACTGCGGACGATCAATTTTTTTTAAATACCGCTTGTCGACGGTAGATTTCGGCAAACGTTCACCTACCCGCTTTCGCGTAAACGACACACATCCTTAGTGTGTAGCTGGCATGGTGTGTGTAGCAGGCATGGGAAGCCCTCTGGTCCCGATGTGAGAACAAACGTGTATTAGTGGACAACCAGATTCGAGTTCTAATGAACCTAAAGCCAATTGAAGTGGAGAACAGTGAAGACATTCAAAGACTTCAATCCACTGTTAACAACTGCCTCCAAATCCTAGCAATCCAGAATGTATCCACCGAAAGGTGGGATCCCATTTTAATATATTTAATTACCTCGAAACTCCCTGAGATCGCGGTTACTTTATGGGAACAGTCCGTAAATTCGAGGAAAGACCTCCCCAACTGGTCACAAATGAACCAGTTGCTCACCACAAGATACAAGGTAGTTGAAAGGGTCGACCAATGGCGGCCACCCAAAGACAAGTTTAATTCCGCAAATAATAGTAACAAAAGGCTACCTCCATCCCACAATAGGTCGTTTTCAAAACCACTGCAAACCCTCGGGTCACATTTCATTTTCTCAGATCCACATAACAGAACAAAGGAAAAAGTTCGCTTCCGTTATCTGCAAACAAAAAACCCATTCCCTCAGTCAGTGTCTCAAATATAAAAGACTCTCCATAAACAATCGCGAAAAACTAGTGAGGGAACGTAACTTGTGCACCAACTGCCTGTCCTCCACGCATACCATCCAAGACTGTCCATCTGACCGGACGTTAGAACTGGAAAACTATCGATAGGCGTAGCCATCGATAGTTTCGATAGTCGATAGTCACAACCATCGATAGTATCGATACTATCGAAAATGTTGACACTATCGATAGTTCTATCGATAGTTTTGATTAAAAATTCCAAAAATTAAACATAACAACTTTTATTGAAAATGAGATCATAACTGCTAAAATATGTCCATATTTTTGTTAAGGAACAAAACCTTTTCAACGATTTTTGGCTACAAGCAGCATCTGCGCTCTGAAATTATTTGCCCTGCTTTGCTAAATGTCTTTTCCCACTCACAAGATGAAACAGGTACCGCCGTATTTTACCCCTACTGAAAAATGTATGTATGAGTGAAAACTGTCGATAGTGCTCACAAAGCTATCGATGTTTCCGATAGGCAAAAACCATCGATACTATCGATAGTGCCATCGATAGTTTTCCAGCTCTACCGGACGTGTTATAAATGTTAAAGAAGGCATCAGACAACTCTCCACAAGGACGTAACCTCCACACCTAACCAGCGTCAACCACAACTGCGGATAACCCGTTCTTAGATTGCAACAGCTTCTGCTAATCTGCAAACGCCGGACCGTTCGTAAAACCAAGACGAGCTCCCCCAATGTTCCAATCAAGTACAAACTCTTTACGCAGGAAAATGAAAACCAAATGCTCCCTACTGCGATAGTCCATGTAAAACATGAGCTCTTCAAACTGCGAGCACTCATTGATCAAGGCTCCCCACGCACTTTTATCATCGAAAGGCCAGTCTAGAATAATGCTACCTTGCCAAGCTTAGAGTTTCGAGACCTCTGGCATGGGCGAAAAATTGCCCAGACCTCAAACAAATTGTGTTCTTTGCTCTTAGTCAGCTCTGCTCTAAAGCGTGAAATCCTAGCGCAAGCGATAGCACTGCTCCAATTAACCAAGTTCCTTCCAAAATTCGCTATAAATTCCGAGCAAAAGAATATGATTTGCTGCGGCTTCGTGCTCAGCGTGCGGATTTA